AGGGATTGGGACAATTTTGGGGGCCGGGAAAAGAAAGTGTTCCTTCATGGTCAACACAGAGTAGTCTAACTGCGCATACATACTATTTCAGGTACTTTGGACAGAACAGAAGGGACAGCAAGATCGCCACTGCTGTCAGTTTGCGGAACTACCCTTCAGTGTCACCAATCATCCAGTCATGGAGTCCTTTTTGCCAGAACCCGTATTCGCTCTGTCTCAATGCCTCGTCTCCACGTCACTTGCTGGCCCCCACGTGGCTTTCTCCAGCCAGCAGCAGCCACCGCAAATAAAGCGCGAAGCGATGGGCTGGGCGGAAGGACATACAAAACGTGTCTTGACCAACGAAGCCTATTGAGCTGAATTCGACGAGCTAACAAGTTCGTGTTCGATGCATTCCCAAACACTCGACGGATTACTTATAGATTACTAACCTACTCACTCCATTCCACCTTGGCCGGATTACATAAACATCGATGGTCGAAGACCACTAGGTGACAAATGTCTTCCGCCTGCTAATTCGTCTCACAAACGTAAAGTTCAATGGCGCAGCATAGGGGACCTCAATGAAACGTCACGTCGACGTGGAGTGTTTTAGTCTTGCATACACTAATCGAGTTAGGCGTGGTATTGCATCAAACGACAGCAAAGCTGTCTACCATCAAAGTTGGGTAGCGATGGCGACTCTCGAACCTCGAACCACATGGTCCAAAGCAAACAAGTGACAGCGACTAAACCACTGCACCACAACCACCCAATCACTTGGTAGCCAGCTGAGACGAATGTGGTACCAAACACGACCAACGAAGCAAACGGCTACGAGGCGACAGAATCTGATCCAGAAATCCTGAGAGATGAAAGTTGGTCGATAAGGAGTAGGGAACCTCCTCGGATTGCGTGGATGCCTCACTACGGAACAGCGACTTAACACGAACCGGAACAACTACGGTTTGAAGCAATCTTCAATCCATAGAAGAGTATTTCGTGTACTTCCATTGGGATTTTGCTTCTAGTGAGGGTTTTAGCAAAAATCAGGTAGCTATATTCCTCCCGAAGAACGGACCTCCAGTGTTTGTTTTTATACCATTAAAGATGCAGTTTCGTTTTTTGGGTTTGGATGCCCATTTCGCAAAATAGGAGGATGAGCATGTTGAGCAGATTCAAAGAGAAAACAGAATTCATTAAAACCAAGGTGGCAAGAATGCAGAGCAGATGTAAGAGCGCCGCTATTTGCGACTCAAATCACTCATAAATGTCTCTAACTACCGGTGGCGCTGATACCGATGTCTCCATTCAGGAAGAAGCTGGGTTCAACTTTGGCTTCGATTGATGCGACCCGCCTTCCAGGTTGGGACCCGAAGGATGAGGTTTGTCGTTGGTTACAGACGCTGAGAGATACTGCCCAAAAGAGATGTTAGTGGCGTGAATGCTGTGCGGTCTGTCTGTAGAAATCTCTTGTCCCATAAAAAACGACAAACTAATACAAAAGATATTGAAGTGTACGGTGAAACAAAAAAGTTGTTATTCTCGTTGTTCAACTCAACTATCTGACTTTCGTGCACACTGCTTTGCATTCCAACTATTGTTTCATCACACACGAAGTGATTTACAGCAAAAAGGGTAAATCCTATAATCAATGATATACTGTGAAGGGGAACATTCAAGTAAGAACCAATTTGTTAATCCTGCTTTTGGAAAGGCTGTAAGAGCTGGGAAACACGGAAAAGGGAAGTGTTACACAATTTGGCAGTCATCGGAAAAAGATAAAAGTCCGACATCTGGAGACAAACCTAACTCCCATTCCAGATCTCAAATTGACCGCTCTTTACTATTTGCGTCTACTATCTGCCTCGGCAGACATCATAAACTATAATCTATTTTGAGGCACGCACAACACATGTCCAAAAGTGAGTCAACCGCTTGCTGCAGTGGACGACAGCGATCATCCAAAACTGCACCTAGCATTTTCTGTCCGAACGCCTCACCGAAATCTGTTAACGAGGCGTAGACAGCCCATATCCATCCTGTTTTCGTAATGATCACGTCTGTGTACCATAAGGCAGCACTGGTAGAACCGCTGCAGCATAATCTCGACTCTTAACGGACAACCGGATGTTTCAGGTTGCCTAGCGGCAATCGAGCCTACAGTATGCACGCACCATTGGTGAGGCGAACTTCACTGATCGCTGCTAAACTCACACTGCATACAAGATACGCACGTATGCGTGCATTTCACATGCGTCTGAAGCCTCTTCTTGGTTAGTTTGAAATCAGGGTTTTAAGCTAACTCTACGTGAGCTGTCAGTGCTTCACCGACCCGGTCAATCTGGAGAAAACTCCTCCGCCATGAGGTAGATTGGGGCTTCCTGCTTTACGCATGTCAATACTTCACCCGTGACGCGTTCATCAAAATGTCTACCTCCTTTACTACTTCCCCAGTTAGCATGAGGTTGGGGTTGGACCAAGTCCTTTACATTTTACACATTTAAGGTGAAAAAAGCAAGCC